TCCATCCTCTCTTCTTTTTCCTCTCCTCTCATCCATCCTCTCCTCTGTTCCCATTAAAGCCAGCAGCCATATTTGGGCTCTTGGTAGAGGAGCTGGTGGAAGTTGGATCTGTTGTTCTTTCCATCCCGTCCTCTCTTCTTTCATGCCCGGCTGAGCAGTGCTCCCTCTGTAATGGGAGCAAACACATCAAATATTAGTTCAGTGCTCCGCCCACATGCACTGTGCTCTCCACTACAACGCTGTGTGGTTTCTACGAGTACCGACAGAGGAGTCAAAATACCGCCTGAAAACACATTTAATGATTTCCGCCAACACGGAATGTCTTAATGCAGCGCGAGAATCTAATCAGGGAATGGGATTCATACTAAGAACATCTGAGAGACTGTGTGAGGAAGTCATGTGGAGAGACTTATAATAGGTAGACAGAAATAGACAAGTAGAGCCAGGAAGAGTTCTGGGAAAGAGCAAATGCAACTGGGTCTGATCCTGTTCATCCTCTTTTTAAAGAATTCATAAAACTGCCTCTTTGATCCCAAAGAACGAGCCATTACTTTGCTTTAGTGCTGTTCATTGTATGTATTGTGTTTTAACCAACCTGTGAAGCTCTCTGTGGACCATAAATGAGATTATTATTATTATTTAACCCCGTTCACTGCTTCGTACCTTTGGTTCAGATCTGCGTTAGACGTTGAGGTTTGTTTTTGGGGATTAAAATAACTCATTAGTCGTCATTCAGCTTCAGTTCACACGAGTGAAGCGGAGTCAATAATAGCAGGTATTTTCTTTCCATTCGTGATTTATATAAAAAAAGCTAATTAGAAATCGCACACTTGAGCGGTGTTTCCTAGGAAACAGGAATATTCTGACAATCAAGATGTGAAATGACTTTATTAATTAAGTTCAGAAGAGACGTAATTGTTCCTGAAGAAAATAATCATAAATGAGGAATTTAGTTTGATTTCTGATTTTTCATTCTCAGAGTAGCTTCAATGTTCAGAGATCATCTTTAGAAACGTTCACCTCATCAGGTGATGTAACAGAGCAGAGAACGTAGTGCTCATCTGTAGGTGGATAAAAGCAAAACAACCAGTAAAAGCTGATCTAATCACCCACTAGTGAGTCTCACTCCCACAGATGATGATAAGAATAATTATAATAACAATAATGCACCTGAACTTGAAAACAAAGCTACGGTTGTGGGTTGACTTTTTCAAACTGAATACTTTAAAGCAAAACTTAAAATCAATCCAATCCCCTCCCTCGATTCCACTTCTTCTCTACCCGCAAAATAAATGTGAATTAAACTCTTTGGAGCCCAGTCGTGCAGCAATAGAAGCAGTGGATGGGGGGGAAAAGGAGGGAGGAAGAGAGGAAGGGAGGGAGGAAGTTAGGGGGAGAGGAAGTTGGGGAGAGAGGCAGGTAGGGAGGAAGAGCGGAGGGAGGGAGGGAGAGAGAGAGAGGAAGGGAGGGAGAGAGGGAGGAAGTTAGGGAGGGGGGAGAGAGAGAGGAATGGAGGGAGAGAGGAAGGTATGGAGGGGGGGAGAGAGAGGAATGGAGGGAGAGAGGAAGGTAGTGAGGAAGTTAGGGGGAGGGGAAGGTAGGGAGAGAGGAAGGTAGGGAGAAAGGAAGGTAGGGAGAAAGGAAGGTAGGGAGGAAGAGCGGAGGGAGGGAGGGGGGGAGAGAGAGAGGAACGGAGGGAGAGAGGAAGGGAGGGGGAGGTAGGGAGGAAGAGCAGAGGGTGTGTGAAGGTGCTGCTCACGGATAGAGAGATGGGAGTGGAGGATGAAGATGATGAACGGGGGAGGAGGCAGACTCATTCCTCACCCCCCATCGGACGTGTCCTTGAGCAAGGCACTTAACCCCTCGAGTGCTCCAGCAGAATAGATGGTTCACTCACCGGGCAGCTCCCTGAGGGGGGAGACATGTGTGAATATGAGAGAGAGAGACTTCATCAGCCTCTTTCTCAGTCGGATGTTTGAGGGAGGAGCTCAGTGGCAAAGAGACGGGAGGGCAGAAAAAAAAACAAGAGAAGAAGAAGAGCTGGTTTCAGACATTAGTGTTCAAGAAGACTGAAAGGAAACAGGAGCAGATAACATGGAAGAGAAATGAAGAGAGACGTGAAGAAGAGGTCAACAAGGAAGAAGATACAGAAATAAACATGTAAAGAAAGATGGATAATTAAGTATAACTATAACGATTCTCAAGCTAACGAACCAGAGCTGCTCTCTCGTCTCTCAAAAACTTCATTTAATTGAGTTATTTTCACCTGCTGCTGTTGGTCCTCTTATTCACCGTTCTCATTAACTTCAGTGAAGATAAACATGCTGACTGCATGCAGATGGTTAATTAAAGTTTGTTGTTGATTGTTAAATGATGTCAGTGGAACCGGAATAACAACCATGAAGTTACTGAAACACGTGCTGCTCTGAAACGGTGGTGATCCCGTCTGAGTTCTGCAGAACCTGAGTCGGCTGTTTGAACATTGATTCTGACGACGGAACAGAAACACAACAAACGAAGAGAAAACTGTGATTCGGAGAAGAGGAGGAGGAGATCAGCATTCAGGAGGAGGAAGAGATCAGCATTCAGGAGGAGGAGGAGGAGGAGGAGATCAGCATTCAGGAGGAGGAGATCAGCATTCAGGAGGAGGAGGAGGAGATCAGCATTCAGGAGGAGGAGGAGGAGATCAGCATTCAGGAGGAGGAGGAGGAGATCAGCATTCAGGAGGAGGAGGAGAAGAGCATTCAGGAGGAGGAGGAGGAGGAGATCAGCATGGAGGAGGAGGAGTCGGAGATCAGCATAGAGGAGGAGGAGGAGGAGCAGCAGTGATGGATTGTGTTTACTCCTCCATCTGTCTCCGGCTTCATTCCTTTAGTCTCTCCTTCTGTTTTCTACCTGTTTCTCTGACGTCCTCCTCACCTTGTCCTCTCTTTTCTCACTCCGTCTTCTGCTCCGATCACCTCCTCTCTTTTCTCTCTCATTTCTAGTTTGTATTTGTTCATCTTGTCCTCTCCTCCTTCCTTTCCTCTCATCGGCGCTCATTATCTCTTCCCTCCTCCATCTTGTCTCCTTTTCTTTTTAATCTTTTTCTTTCTCGTCTCCGTTCTCATCTGTCCTTCCTATTAATTTCACTTTCTCCTAATTAGCCTTCTTTCTTAATTTCCTCTCTTTGCCTTCCTCCTTTTTAAGTCTCCTTCCCTCCTTTCTCTCTCTACTTCCTCTCTCTTCTCTTTACCTCGGAGGCTTCTTAGTCTTTCTCAGATGTCCACAACACATTTCCTTTCTTGCTGTTTCTTTCCTCCTTTCTTAAAAGCCGCTCCCCTCTTTCATCTCTTCTCCTTGTCTGTCACTTCCTCTCCTTTTCCTTTTTTTATTTACTTCATGTCATCTCTACAGTACATCCTTTAATCCTTCACCTCCTTTAATCTTTGAATCTCCTCATCTCACCGCACTCTGCTCTCCTCGAGAGCTCCACCACTGCTCGTCCTTTTCCTCGCTCCACACTTAAAGCTTCTCCTCTTTTGGCCGGTGTCAGCGACAGCTGAGGCAGGAGGTGTAACGGTTTCTGGTTGTCCGTCTGTCCGCTCTCGTGAACTCGATGTCTCAGGAACATCTGGAGGAAATGTCTTCTGATTTAGCTTCTGATTTGGATTTTGTTCAAGTGTGGCTCAAACGTCCACCTGGACTCAATGATGACCTGCTTGGATTAAGATTAGACGATGAAGTGAAGACGTTGGATGTAAACTGCAATAAGTCTGGTTAGCGGAGGCATAAAGAAATTCTTTCACACTCTTGAACCAGGTGTGTCTCTTGACCACGAGATTACCAGAGTAGATAAATGTTAAATGATAACAAAGAGGTTATAAACGTTAACTGGCCAGTTTGTTGGGTGTTGTTTTTCCTGCTAACTAGCAGCTTCTGTGATGTGCAGATACACGAGAGCAGCTGGAGCTGGTTGGTCATCAAGGCTCTCTGGATAGTGTAAATATAAATAGTGAGAGTTTCAGAGCAGCAGGAAGTTGACTTTGAGGAAGACGACAAAGTCATCGGCTACTTTTACTGGCAGGAAGAGAAACTTGACAAAGAAAGAAAGAAAAAACAAAACTCTTTCAATCAAACACAAATGTTTTGTCCGCTTTTTCTTCTCGCAGCTATTTTGGCATTCGGTGTCTTTCTCTTCTGCCAAACACCTGCAGCTCATTAGCACACCGGTGTGTTTACCTCCCCTCTCCTTTTTGAGCAGCTTTAGTCGCCGTGTTTCCACATTTAGTTGTTTCCTTTGCACTTTGCACTTTCTCTGGTTGTTACAACAAATGTAATGCTGAAGCTCAGAGGACTTCAGGCTGCAGCAGAGTCCTGTTTACAGACCGCTAATCTGTCAATGAAGTGGATTATATTTATACATACTACATGTGTCACTCTGTTGAACACAAGTCTCCCTCTTCACATGTGTGCTGCATTCAGCACCATAGCCAATATTTCATAAATGTATTAACCTAATCTAATGAATAGAAACTGGGAAATGTGCTTGTTTACTGTGTTTCCAACAGTCGGATAAGAAGATGAATATCATTTTAATCTCTGTGAAGCTTGTGCAGGAAGTTCATCCTGAACATCTTTAGCCTAGCTTAGCACAAAACTGGAAGAAGCTGTTAAAGGTGAAACAGCTCACATTACAACAACTCCAAAGTTGTTTTGTTGACAGAATTCGTTGGATTTTGTCCGTTCTGAAACGTTAAGAAAGAGACTATTAGAGTTTGTGCTTCAGCAGCTTTTATTTTGCCAACATTATCAAAACCAGCTCAGACAGGCAGCTCTCGGATTTTGCGACTTTGGCCTTTACAGTGGCCTGACATGTGGACACATCTGGTGTAAAGTTTTCTTCTTCTGGCTAACATACATTATGCATGGAGGAGGAGGAGGGAA